AAGACAGTATTTGCCATTATGACTGGCACTCAAACATATTTTAAATAACAGAAATAATTATTTGTTGAATGCCTACTCTCATCTAATAGTTCAGGGTCTAAAAAAACTATTTTTTACCTAAAGATTTAATTCTTACTGGAGATAAAATTTTTTAACACCAATGAACTTTATAGTAGAAGGGACTGCAATCGCTTAGTTTAAATAAAATTAAAATATAAGGGAGAATAAATAAGAATACTGGCAGGAGAGCAAAGAGAGTGCTGTCCTTTAAAATAATCTGTCAAAAACCGTGAGATGTTTAATCTATTTCATAAGTGAAGAACCAAGTTTTTCAGTCCCTGTGTGTGTGTGTGTACGTATGTACTTAAAGAAGAGTCGCTGTATCTCCCATAGCAAATAGTCACTGGAACATAATAAACAATGCTGAATGAATATCAAATGTCATATTTTAGATTACCTAAACAAAACAAGTTTTTAAGTTGTACTTCTAGGTATACAGAAGTCAATTAATCTCAAAGTGTAGATCTTTGGTTTTCTTTGAGAGAAAGCAAATTTTTATTACAGAAAAGGTCCCTGCTACAGAGAGGGAAGTCAAGCAGGTTGCCCTCAAAGTATATAATTTAAGTGAGAAATGACAGGTCCCTGTAACACAAATCTATTTTAAAGATTCAAAGATGATTGCTCTTAACATTTCTGACTATTATTCAAGTTCTTATTTGCTGAATGCAAGAGAAATATTTACAGAGAGACTATAATGTATGTGCCAGGGCACAGTGCTTATAATTGTGCCAATTTTCATGTTACAGTAATGCTATCTACTTAGTGATCTCAGTATCCAAAGAACATGTACTTGTGTTCTTTTGAGATTAGTGCTGATGGTTTTCCAATAAGATGTATTAGTTAAGAGTAAAATAGGAAATAAAATGTATGCTATGTTGGATTGGTTGATTAACTGGCAGTTTAAATAATCTGGAGAACTTAGTAAATGCCAAACACTTTCTGCAATTTTTTACATACCATCATCTCACTCAACCCACATAACACAATGCCATACATACTATAACTTCCTTCATTTCATAAACTGAGAAAACAACACTTCGATATTAAATAGCTTTCCCAGGATCCCCCAGCTACTTTTTTTTTTAAAAAATATATTTTATTGATTTTGTACAGAGAAGTAGGGAGAGAGAGAGTTAGAAACATCGATGAGAGAGAGTCATTTATCAGCTGCCTCTTGCACACCCCCTACTGGGGATATGCCCGCAACCAAGGTACATGCCCTTGACCTGAATCGAACCCGGGACTCTTCAGTCCCCAAGCCGACGCTCTATCCATTGAGCCAAACTGGTTTCGGCAAAAATTCTTAAGGTTTTATTTTTAAAAATAAGGAGGTGTGGGGATAAAAGGGAGAGATCAACCAAAGGACTTATGTGCATATAAATATGAACCTAACCAGTGGTCGAGGACAATAAGGGGGTAGGGACATAAGGGGGAGGGGGGAGGGATTGGAATGGGGGGGTTGAGGACAAATATGTGATACCTTAATCAAAAGAAATTTTTAATAAATAATAAAAAAATAAGGTGGTTTTTAATTATATTTACAATACTATTTGTACAAATGGTTTTCTCCAATTGTTGAGGCCAAGTTTGTTATAATAGCAGCTAAAAAAAATTTTCCTAACATATTGTAGAGTAAGTCAGTGGGGAATACTAAATATCTTTAAAAAAAATCTGCCAAACAAGCTTTACTGTAGCCTCTAAAAGTCTAATGGCTTTCTTAATTTAATCTATATGTAATATAAAAAAATATATAAATACCTTAAAAATCCTTAAAGTAGAGGTGGTTAACATACTATAGCCTATGTTGTTATTATAAGTCAATAAAGCTTAACATTAAGAAAGAACTGCAATAACAAAATAAAAATTTCAGACCTCATAAAACTAAAAAATTTTATGATATGTGATAAATCAGTGCTTTAGAGAAAATAAACAAGCGAAGGGAGATAGGAAGTATAGTAGTCTGGGAATTCTTTAGTGATATGGAAACAGTTGAACAGTGATAAAGAGAACTGAAAGAACAAGTCTAGGATTTAACTGAGTAATAAGGGCTCCAAGCAGATGGAATCATGAAGTACAATCTTTCTGATTCAGTCGCACTTTTTAAAAATAACTATTTGCAAAAAAAATAAGTTAAAAAAAATAACTATTTGCACTATAATACTTTGATAACACTTATAATTTTTACAGTTAGTGATTACTTCATTTAGCTGCAGAGATTCATTCAAATGTCAATTACCCTTTTTTTTTTTTTTTTTTTTAACTAAACGAACCAAAATATAGCTTTGAGACATTATGGAATGATTGGTTCATCCTTTCTTAGCACAGCAAGAAGAGCCTGCCAGAAATAAAATATGACTTCCTCATTTTTATTAGTCAAGCTTCTTCAAGATTTATCTGGAATGTATTTCCTAAATCAAAGTTCTGCCACAGAAAATTAATCAAAAAAGTATTCAAATGAAATAACTTCATTAAAATGAAGATTGGATGAGAATAAATATTCTGAGAGAAGTTATCTTAGGAAAATTCTAAAAAATCTAGGTGTAATAACTGAAATAAATTTACAAAACACAAATAGCTAACTATCACAGAAATGCAGGCCAGATATCAAATTTTCTTAACAGAAAAAATAAGCAGAATTGGCTGTTCTACAGTATTCCAAAACCCTAACAGCAACCTAGCAGTTAAATAAAATTTTTTAAAAAGTTTTGAATACTTTGATTATTTTCCAAAAACTAGCTGTGAAATACTTAACCCAGGTCTCTATTATTACAATATGTTAGTGAACAGAACTAGACATTCAATACCTGTTAGAGGTATAAATAAACTTCAAATTTGCAGGAAGTAGTATTTATCCAATTTTCTACAAGGGAACCAACTTTTTCTTCCAAATAATACTTTTTAAAATTAATAATTAGCCCTAGCCAGTTTGGCTCAGTGTATAGAGTGTCTGCCTGCAGAATCAAGGGTCCCAGGTTTGACTCTGGTCAAGGGCACATGCCCAGGTTGGGGGCTCAGTCCCCAGAAGGGAGCATGCAAGAGGCAGCCAATCAATGATTTCCTCTTATCATTGATGTTTCTATTTTCCTCTCCGAAATCAACAAAAATATATTTTAAAAAATAAAAATTAAATTAATAATTACATGCCAGTATGTTACGATAATATTAGAACAAGGCCATGGTAGATATAACTATGATAACTTTTAGAGTATGTAGGCTTATAAATACAATGTCAAACAAAATGTTCATCATAACCTATCAGAAAACAAAAATAAAGTGATCCAGCCCCTGTTGTATGGCTCAGTGGTTGCCTATGAACCAGGAGGTCATGTTTGATTCCTGGTCAGGGCACATACCTAGGTTGCAGCCTCCATCCCCAGTAGGGAGTGTGCAGGAGGCAGCTGATCAATGATTTGTATCACTGGTTGTTTATATCTCTCTCCATCTCTCTTCCTCTCTGAAATCAGTAAAAATATAAATTATAAAATAAAGTGATCCATAACTCCACCTATAGTTTACTAATAATCCAAATTGGGAATTTGTTTCAGTTCATTATTTTATACCCAAAAGAAATCTAAGTAATCCAAGGTTACTTTAAGCCTAAGAATTAGGGTACCACTCTCAGTATGATCTAATGATGGTCTCACTTTTATAATAATTTTAGTTTGACCTCACCTGCTGGCTCAGTTGGTTGCAGCATCCTCCCTTCTCCACTTTCCAATAATCAATAACTAGAAGTCCCTTAAGGAGGGCAGGGATCATTAAAACAGCATTGTACACTGAAGATAATCAATTAGAAATACTCCTGAAGCTTCTATTAAGTCAATGTCCATATTTTTTAAGAGTTCCATTCCAATCAGGGCACATACCTAGGTTACGGATTTGATCCCTAGTTCGGTGAGTTCGAAAGGCAATCCCTCATGTCTGTCTGTCTCTGTCTCCTCCCCGTGTTCCTCCCCCCCTCCCCCCGCTTCCTCTCTAAAATCAATAAACATATATCCTCTAGTGAGGATAAATATATACATGCATACACACACATATATAAAATATGTGAAATTTAAAAACAAAGATAGAACAATAAAATATCACATCTTAGTCTGCTTTCCAAGGAGTGGTCCCCAAAAAGTATGGGGGAAAAGAACACCATCCCCTGCGAGTTGACAGGGAGTTTTGCAAGTTTCGCGCACTCTCACTTGTGGCCTAATTTTATGAATGGAAAAAACTCTGCATCAAAAGGCGCGACTTGTCCAAGGTCAGTCAAGAAGTTAGTGTTGCCGCTCTACCGGGAAGGGTGCACTTCACCTGACACTTCCCACTCACTACATCGTCCTGCCTCCCCTGCCGCCAGGGGCGGAGTGAATCAGACTCCCGCACTATCTATCCTCAACCTGCTAAAGAGGCGGGTGAAAGCTTGCAGTAGCAGGTCAACCTAGGGGAGAAAGTTGTGCAGGTCACCGATCAGCCCGGGAAAGTGACATGTTGACAGGCGCAGCTCCCAAAGGAACAGTTCTGCATTCCCAGGAGCCCCCCCCAAACCCGGCGCCGGCGTGACTGCTCCCGGAAACGTCTGAGAAACCTCAGTGAGTTTCGCCCCCTCCTGGGCGTGAGGCACGACGGGGGAATGTGCAGAGGACGGCCGGCCACCCGGCCCAGCCATGTGCCAGTCCAGCCCGTCACGCCCGCCTCGCCCCAGCCGGTTCCTCGTGCCTCGACCGCAAGCCAGAGGCCCAGCCCGGGACCCGACGCAAAGGCTGTCCGGGCCGCCGCCGCCGCCGCCGCCACCGCAGCAGCCCGAGGCGCCCCGGCGCGGCACCCGCCGTCAGGTCTCCGCCCCACCTCTCAAGTTGAGCCTCCAAGCGACGCCGTCCGCGTCCCTCGCCCGGCCCGGAGGGATCGGCCTGCCACAGTCCGCCCGCCCGCCGCCGCCAGCCCGGCGTCCTTACTTCATTGAGCTGGCGCTCCGCGGCCTCGCGTAGGGCAGGATCCATGGTGCCCCGCAGGGCCTCGATAATGGTGTTGGGGTCCATCGCCGCGCGGACTTGCTAAAACCCCAAGGCTCGGGTGCTTCGGAGCCAGGAACAGCACCGCTCACTGCGCACATGGACCCGCCGCGCTCCGCAGCGGCAACCGGCGCGAAAGGAAAGAGAAGCGCCAAAGCCCCGGATAGAACCTCTTCGCCTCGGCGTGGAGGCGGGAGATGTTCCGGAGATTTCCTGTCAGCGGGCCGCGGGGCACCTTGGGATGTGTAGTCCACGTGCGCAGTCCGCAACCCACGTGGTCCTGAGCTGTCTGTCGCTCACACAAATCAAAAAGGAAAAATGTTCAAACTGCACAGAAAGAAATGTAAAACAATCAATTAAAAATACTTCACATTATAGTATACTTATGGTGACTATAAGATGTATCTGACACAATAAGTGATGCAATCCATTGTTAATAGCTGTGTAATTGAAGGAAACCTTTTCAAAAATCATTTTGAGATAGTGTTTCTATATGCCATCAAAATGTTTATACCCAAGTTAAAAAGAAATATATTTTACACAAGTAATCCAATTTATGAGACTTTCCTAAGAAATAGCACAGCCGAAACCGGTTTGGCTCAGCGGTAGAGCGTCGGTCTGCAGACTGAAAGGTGCCGGGCATGTACGTTGGTTGCCAGCACATCCCCGGTGGGGGGTGTGCAGGAGGTAGCTGGTCGATGTTTCTCTCTCATCGACCTTTCTGGCTCTCTATCTCTCTCCCTTTCTCTCTGTAAAAAATCAATAAAATATATTAAAAATATATATAGCACAAAAGATTAAATGAGCCTTACACGTGAGAGGTATTTATCACATTATATATTTATTATAACCGCCAAATACTAAAATAATGGCTTTTTATTGAGCATCCAAGTTTTGTCAGGAACGTTATATAAATCACATCTAAATTCAGAACAAAAGTATAATCCCTATTAAAACCCACATCTTTAAAAACAGTTAAGCGGTTTAGAAAGGTTAAATAACTTGCCCAAGTTCACTTGGATATTAAGAGATTCACCTAGGCCCTAATTGGTTTGGCTCAATGGATAGAGCTCTCTATCACTCTCTTCCTCTCTGTAAAAAAATCAATAAAATATTTTTTAAAAAAGGGGTTCACCTAGGATTTCAAAACTAGAACATTTCTGTTTTCATTCCATTGAATTACTCTGCCTCTCCAGATAAATGTAGGCCTGGCCTGCGTGGCTCAGTGATTGAGTGTTGACCTATGAACCAGGAGGTCATGTCCAGAAGGTCGCAGTTAGATTCCAGGGCAGGGCACATGCCCGGGTTGTGGGTTCGATCCCCACTGTGGATTGTTCAGGAGGCAGCTGACCAATGATTCTCTCATTTATGTTCTCTCTCCTTCTCCCTTCCTCCCTAAAATCAATAAAAAATAATATAAAATACATTGATTTTTTTTTTTTAAAGAAAGAAATATCAGACAATAAAGGAAGCCTACTTTGGTATTTTCATCCATTTTGGCCTCCCTAAATTCAGTCTCCTTGACTCAGTGAGGCCATAGTGCTTTTTATGGAACCTCTTCTTGCCTTATGGTCCAGATAATGCTTTTTATGGGAACCCCTTCTTACCGTATGGTCCAGACACAAAACTAAGGAAATTATTGGCTTACTTTACTTGTTTTCTTTCTCTCAGGGAACCACAATACTAATCTGCTTCTTAATTTAAGTCTGCAAACAGTTGTTTCACATATTAAGTTCTACTTGTTTACAACCTGGGTATTCACTGCTACTCTACCATGAGTAGAAGCAAAAGATACTCTGTGAAATTTTTAGGTACTATGCACAGATGGATACTCTATCAACTAAAGTATTCAAGGTAGCCATGAGGATCAAAAAAGAAATCACATATCAGAATTGTTCTTTTAACTCACAACAGAAAAGTTTCCTTCTATCTGCCCACTCATAATGTGGAGGAAATATGCTACTTACTTTGTCCTTTAATATGTCAGATATATTTAATAGTTTTTTAATATGCAGAGTCAGTGCAACAGAATCTGAAAGAAATAAAAAAGTCAGAATATATATGAGGTAGCTTTAGTCCACAATACCCCCAAAACTTTAACCTGAGATCTGTCTGATTATCCCATTTCCCAGGGAGGAGGTCTGTGGATATTTGATAGTCTTTATTTTTCTAGGAAGGCAATTTAATTGAGAGCTGACTTAGGAACACATAGATCCCCAATACCACAATGGTTTCGTGGAAGGAGCATTAGCCTCAAATTCAAACAGATGTGGACTGAATCTTGACTCCATAACCTCCTAGCTTGACATGACTGAGGGTCTCCATTTTTTCTTCTATATAATAGGAACAACAGCAATTCTATGATGAGGTTTATGTAAAATCATCTATAATGTATCAAGCAAACCCTGCATACATAGTACCCAGAGTACAATTAACTCAATAAATGGTTATTTGAACAGACACTTCACCAAAGAAGATGCACAGATGGCAAATAAGCATATGAAAAAATGCTCCATATCATGGGGATTACAAATTTACACAAATCAATGAGATACCATTATGAATGGATAAAACCCAACACACTGATACCAAATGTTCACAAAAATGTGGAGCTACAGAAACTCTCAATGATGCTGACAATGCAAAATGGTACAGCTGTTTTGGAGGTCAGTTTGACAATTTCGTACAAAACTAAACAATTCTTACCATATGATCCAGCAATTGCACTCTTTGGTATTTATTTACCCAAATTATTTAAAAACTAATGTCCAGCCGAGACTGGTTTGGCTCAATGGATATAGCATTGGTTTGGGGACTGAAGGGACCCAGGTTCGATTCCGGTCAAGGGCATGTACCTTGGTTGCGGGCATATCTCCAGTAGGGTGTGTGCAAGAGGCAGCTGATCGATGACTCTCTCTCATCGATGTTTCTAACTCTATCTCTCTCCCTTCCTCTCTGTACAAAATCAATAAAATATATTTTTTAAAAATAAAATAAAAATAAAAACTAATGTCCATACTAAAATCTATACATGGATGTTACCGCAGTTGTATTCATAATTGACAAAACTTGGAAGCAACCAATATGCTTTCAGTAGCTAAATGTATAAATAAACCATGGTACATCCATACTATGGAATGTTACTCAGCAATAAAAATAAATGAGCCCTGGCTGGTGTTGCTAAGTGGTTAGAGTGTCAGCCCACATAATGAAAGGCCTCAGGTTCGATTCCTGGTCAAGGACATATACCTGATCTCCTGGCCCCCCTCAGAGCAAGTGCAGGAGGCAACCAAGCAATGTGTCTCTCTCATTGTCCAGCTCAGCCAAGGGTGCAGCGAGCCCGATGCGGGGTGGGGACGGCAAAGGATTAAAGAAAAGACAGACAAAGAGAATAAGCTGGGTCTAAGTGGATCTCCTGTGCCTACCAGAGGCCACAGAGAAAAGATCCAGACAGCAAGCTGATGCTTTATTTTATAGTCAGAGGTAAACAAGGTAGTGGTCACCATGGTTACAATGTTCTTGTGAGCTTTATTTGTTTTGGCAGCACTTGCTGCACCTCCCACAGCCCATTAGCTACCCAGGAAGGATCTAGGTAGTGTCATAAGGTCAAGCTTAATTACGCTAAGAGGGCTGTGCCCTCTAAGCTGGGACTTGTGGCTTTGCCAACAGGTCAGTCTGAGGCTTAACCCTATAGCCACTCCCTTCAGTGGACCCTCATATAAATGGGACTTTCATATATGACAAAAGTGACACCCAAAAATAATGGAGAGAATGCAGGTTATTTAGTGGATAGTTTGGGAAAGACTGGCTCTTTATAACTAGAAAAATAAGACTGGATCCTATTTCACACTATATATACAAGTAGATTCCTGATAGATTAAAGATAAAATTTTTGAGCCCTAACCAGATTGGCTCAATGGATAGAGCATCGGCCTGAGAACTGAAAGGTCCCAGGTGCAATTCTGGTCAAGGGGATGTACCTTAGTTGAGGACACATCCCCAGTGAGGGGTGTGCAGGAAGCAGCTGATCGATGTTTCTAACACTCTATCCCTCTCCCTTCCTCTTTGTAGAAAATCAATAAAATATATATTTTTTAAAATATCAACTATAAAATAGCTGTGAAATAGAAGAAATGTAAGAGAGGTTTTATTTGTTTGTTTTTACTTAGAGGAAGGGTAAGGCTTTTAAAGCTCAAAACCAAAAATGTTTCTGTCCAATAAAAGATAACATAGATGAAGTTGGAAAATAACACAATAATCTATACATCTAAATAATAAAATAATAAATAATCTAATAATAGAGGAATATGCAAATTGACCAGGATGCCGTCACAGTAATGATCTAACAGCAGGCTGTGAGGGGCAACCAGGCCGGTAGGGGGGTTATTGAGAGACAGCCAAATGACTGAACAGCAGGATATGTGGGGCAAACAGGCTTGCACAGGAGGCATCCATGAATTTTGGCTTGCAACTACAGTTCTTTTCTTCTTCTTTTTTTTAAATATATTTTATTGATTTTTATACAGAGAGGGAGAGAGATAGAGAGTTAGAAACATCAATGAGAGTCATCGATCAGCTGCCTCTTACACACCCCCCACCGGGGACATGCCCACAACCAAGGCACATGCCCTGGACTGAATCGAACCCGGGGCCCTTCAGTCCCCAAGCCGACGCTCTATCCATTGAGCTAAACCGGTCCCGGCACAACTACAGTTCTTTACATATACCCATGCAACCTGTTTGTGACTGAGCCTCACCTCAGGCCTGAGCCACAGGCCTCTCACTTCCTACCTCAGGGCTTCTCTGATGCCATATGCAAAATGCCTCCCCCCCAAAAAAATATATATATATAGCTCTTTTACATGTGCAACCTGAAAGTTTGAGGAAGTTCATTGTCTGTGAGGCAACCTTTGACCATTGGGCAATGATTGCTGACTTCTCTCCTTTCTCTTGGTCAGATGGCCCTGAAATACATTTCATAAATCTTCTCACAGCCCTACAGGGCAGTTTCCCTTAGTAGAAGACAA